AGTCTATCATGCGATTCCTGAAGATCCCTAGCCTAGCACTAGCATGCTGTTCTAATCATCAGAATATCAAATAATGTATGGTATTTTGGGGTTTACTTATAGGCTCCGGCTGATCGTACCCTCTGCATCCTCCATCCTTTATTTGAAAACCAATTTAAAAAATTTACTTTCCGAAAAACCTCCTTGATTTGAGACTGGATTCACACGAGTGTTCCTCAAATTCACTCAAACCAAGGCTCTGATACCAACTTGTAACATCCATAAATTTACGCCAAATTTAAACTTTTCAAGCATAAATAAAACCGAATAGCAATTGTTTACAAAAGTGTTTTCAATCATTATCAATCAGAGTGTCCCAAAAGCCAGATCATAAGGATGAGGAGCGGTACGATCACGTCTTCGCCTTGCCATGAAACTCCTGAAGTACCTGAATGAAACAATTAAACTGAAAAAAACTGTAAGCCCGAGGGCTTAGTGAGCTTACCCCCAATAAATACTAATACCACACTGATAATACCATGTCCGTAATAATCAATCCTCAACACAAGCCTCCATACTGGGCCATCGGCCTGACTGGACCACCCTCCCAGGGCCTACAGTCCAACTGAATCTATACCCGAGCCTTCGGCATGACTGGACCGCCACGTGGGCCTACAGTCTCCCCGGACCGCTCATAGGGTGTGTTGGCCTTCAGCACAGAGCAGGACCGCCTCAACCCAAGCAACAAGCTACTAATCATGTACGCATAACTAAATACTGCATATCTACAATCATCAAACATCTCTATCTCACTGATCACCAAACATGGCATCACTCATAACTAGAGCACTGACCTACAGGTCACTAACATATTAATCCTACGGATCATAAGAGCATAACATACTGTCTATCTGATTCCGATCTAACAGATCATATCCCATATAGCATACCATAACGATAACAACTAAAGGGGCCGGCCTTGGTGCCTTAGACCCTATCGATATAGTGAGGATAACTCACCTCACATAGTCGACTCGGGTAGATAGATCCAACTCTCGAATCACTTGACACAGCTCCACCACCTATTACCATAGCACAATCTTACCCATAAGTCCTTAACCTTATAAGGTACTCCATAACCACTAGTCAACCCCTGGTCCAAAGTCAAAGTCCTCAGTCAAGGTCAACAGTCCATGTGACCTTAACTCGCCGAGTACCTCGGCTACTTGCCGAGTTCCTTGAAGCACTTCCAACTCGCCGAGTCATCGAGTGACTCGTCGAGTTCCTCGATTCTTGATCCAATTCTAAGCCATCGTCGAGTTTCCCTCTTGCAACACGACGGATACACACGCATACATGGAGGAAAACTCATCCGACTCGTCGAGTTGTTCATACAACTCGCCGAGTCTATGGCAATCTTCATCGGGACTCGCCGAGTTGCTCATCCAACTCGTCGAGTTCAAGGGTCATCTCATACGACTCACCGAGTCAACCTTGTGATCGCCGAGTTCCTTCAGTCCTTAAGCCATACAGACTTATTTAAGCCATGCAATGGCTCCAAACTACAGATCCAAGCTTCTAGAGCATGCTTTTCACGTAAAGTTGCAAACTTTACGTGTATGCATGACTAAAAAGGCTCTTAATGGCAATTCTAAGCTCTTAATGGCGTTTCATGCACAAGGAGGACCTCCATCACCCCCAAACCCGAAACTTTATGATTCTAGTATATAGGGAGGGTTCAGATCTGAAGTTACAACTTTAGATCTGGCCCATAGCTTGCCATATCAACTCAAAATCCATAAAACCCTAAAACTCAACCAAAAGAAAAGAGATCTAGAAGGAAAGGGATGTAAAGATTGCAACTTGATACCTCCAGAAGATGCTAGCTGGGGTAAGTTCTTCTTCCCACACCTTCCTTGCTTCAACTCCTTTGCTCTTCAAGCTTTTCCCTCTCTAGCCAACCTTCTTTCCAAGGCTTAAATCACACCAAGAAGAGTACCACACGAATTAGGGTTTCACTGAGCTCTCAAAGATTGTAAAGAGGCCAAATGAGGCTGAGGTTCCTTTAAAGAAGGTGCAAAACCCCAGGATTTAGGGTTTCATCTGCCAGCTCCTACTCGTCGAGTCCCTTCATGGACTCGGCGAGTAGGTCACTAAATACGCGATCCCACCCCGCTGCTACTCGACGAGTAGGGCAACCAACTCGTCGAGTAGGACATAAAACCAAATAACCTTTTATAAAATCCATACCTGAGAATCGAGGCGTTACAGGTGGACTGATTTTGTTCTTTCCACCTTGGTCTAGACTTAGGAGTGGTTCTTTTATTGGACATAGACCCTAAGTATAAAAATGATAACAGTTTACTACCATAGTTAGCCCTTAATGATAAAAGGAAGTGGAATATGGATAAATGTTTTTTGAAATGGTATGATATGATGTGTTATGATATGTATGAAATGATTTTTTCATGAGAATGCTTGAAATGTTTTTGATAAAAATATGATAAAGGTTTTGGGTCACAAACCCGCATATCTCACGAGACATTTTATCTTACGTATCTCTTTATAATGCCATGTATTCTAGGTTACACTTAAGGAGTAAATATGATATATGGAAGTTAGAAGTTAAGAGATAGAGAATGGAGTGGAACTTGTTAAGTTCCTTATTAATTGTATTGATGTAGTTCTTATTTGCTTGCTATAGTTGTATTGATGCTTAATGATAACACTCAATGTTTTAATTGTAAATGTTTTTATGAGGGAGTTTTTATTAAATATGGGTTATTCCCGAAAAGATTTTATAACCATAGCTTTGAAAAAGTTTGCATTTTATTTAGGTGTTACAGTACTTTATATTATAGCTTTGTATTTTCATTCTCTTGCTTATTAAAGCATTTCATATAAATAGATATCGAACAATACACATTTTACTATCAATTTTTTCCTTATTAGATTATTATACTTTTAGAGTTCGTATTCATTTACTTATTTATTTAAAGTGATCGGAAGAAAATTATATAAAGGAGTATAATTTCTATTTCAGTAAAGATGAGTAAATTTTAAAATAAATTTTCAAAAAAATAGTAGTTTAAATAATATGGTTTTGCAAAGTTTATTTAAAAAAAATATTTGAATTTTTTTTATTCGTTTTAAAGCATTGTATTTAAAATTAGAATGTTATAAACGGGCACAATTTGAAAACAACCATCCAGTTATAGCATTGTAGTTTCAAAGTACAACGCTTTAATAAAAATCATAAAAATAATAAAAATAATAAAAAATAAATAAATAAAACTCAATTTTATCATTGTCTAATGATTTTTAGAAAGCCTATTATAGTTGATGGTTTTTTTTTTTTGACGGCTACTTATGTAGCACAAGTTAAGAAAGAAATACTTATAACATTTTTTGATGGTTTTTATACCTAAGTTTAAAGTTTAAATAAGTTATGTATGTGTTTGTATCTGGGTTAATACGTATGAATATGTAATCTATAATTATCATTTTCTTTGCCATTAGTAGCAATGTACTTCCAATATATTTGCAAATATTCATTAAAATGACCATTAATGGGTTTTTTCTTTTATAGCAATGTATTTTTACAAAAAAAAAAAATTGTTCAAACTCTCGTCACAACGTGCGGGCTTAAAATCCTCGTTAAAATTATGTTTTTGTTCTATTACATAATTTTTTTATAGCTTTCGTTTTTATTAATTGTAAAGGAGTTCTCCACCACAACTTACCAGATCGGCTTAAATACTAGTTATTATGTAAAAATAAAATTTGAAACGTAAGTTATGATCCAACATCAATTAATTACGATTAAATCCTCATGAAACATTAAAATTAGAATGAGGTGCTATTATATTGGTAGAACTTTCTACCGAGTGCTAGAACATTTGAAACGTCAAATGATAATGCAACATCACTAATTTTTTCCGGGCAAATCACTGAAATGACCAAAATGTGAAATGCTAAAAAATACACAAAATTACAAAATATACGGGTTTTACAAAAAATAAAAATAAATAAACAAATAAACAAAACTTCCCTAAAAATTAAAATTTCATAAAAGTTGCACAAATTAATCATCAAAAAATAAATTTACGAGATAAGGTATATCTTCGTTATTAATTGTACCCAAAAACTTTAATTGTCTCGTAATATCAATCATATCAAAAGTGGTTTTGATTTTTTTTTTATTGTTGTTTGTTGTTTTTTCATTATTTATTATTATTATTATTATTATTATTATTATTATTATTATTATTATTATTATCTTTCATATAATATTTTTTTCTGTGAACTATTAGATTTATATAGTTATTCGAATAATTCACAAACGTTCAAATATTATTTAATATTAACTCTTATTTTCGATAATAATAAAATATAGTTAATAATTAACAGATGTTCTAAACTTGAGTGACCATTTATGTAAAATTAATTAATAAGTATCATGCATTTTTCATAATTGTGTGGCGACTTTCATAGTCAAAAGACAATAACGAATCATTCAGTAAAGGCCTTTACAGAGATATGAGAAAATTATAGGGAAACCACGCAATGGTAATACTCAAACTGTTTAATATATCCGACGATTAATAAAAAAAATACTTTGTTTTATTAATATCATTTATATGATTGTTATTTATAATATTGTTTTAATAATAATAATATCAATTAACCTAATAAAGTAAATAATATTAATAAAGTAAAAAAAAACAACAAAAAAACAAAAATAAAAATAATAGTAATAAAAAAATTAAAGGATAGCTATTCAGTTTGTAACAAGAGGGTTCATTATTACTCACACAAAAAATATCGGAAAGTCAATTTTGTTATTTGATTATTCGTGATAGTTGTTTAAAATATAATTATGACATAAACTCAACACTTTTTTTAAATAATTTTAGTCATCAGCCATATTTCTTCGAACCCAACAATCTAAAAAATGAATGACTTTAAAATCTAATAAAAAAAAACCCCAATCCACTTAAGTGCCTAACATTGTTAATATAGGGGGTAAACTTGGATAAAATAGAAAGTACAAGGGTATAACTTGCAAAAATATATACATGAACTCAACTCCCTCTTTCTTTACAAAATTCTTATTACATAACAACACTATGCAAGAATGCTTACACAATTTCCATAACAACAAATTCACCATCACTACTAATAACTACCAACTCAACTTCCATGCAAATCTTTTTTTACACTTTCAACTTCAACCCTAAGATTTCCCGCCAAAAATCTCCATGCTTTTTTTTTTTCTTTCTTTTTGCAATTTTGATTTTCCCTTGTTCATCAGACCGGTTAGATTTCAAGAAACTCCATTTTTTTTTTTTTTAAATTCGAGTAAGCAAAGTGCTTGATTCATTAGAAATTTAAAGAATTGTAATAAGAACAAGCATTGCAATTGCATAAAGAAGAAGAAACATAGCATCCTTGTTGTATACACCTGTCATATATAATTGAAAATGCAAAAAGATCACGTAAATTAAAAATGTGCAAATTTGTAAAAAATTTAAAAAGATTTAATGAGGAAAACCTCTTTTCCCTGACTTTATCTATTTAGTCGTTTTTCTGCATTAAGTAAAAAATATTGAATGGTGAAATTACCTTTCTGCCCAGAAGCTGCTGCAGGAAGTGCAGGAATCTTAATAGCTGCAGATATAAAAAAAAGGTTCCAAAGATGAATTTGATATCAAGAAATTGAAGGTTTTGAACAAGGGTAATTTGGGGATAATGATTTTTGCTTACTTCTGTTGCATGATGAAGCTGGTAAATGTGAAATGGAAGGCCAAGGTGCTGGAATATGATCATTCAGATCACAAAGGAAACTAACTCCTGAAGATGTATCAAATGTTGCATCTGAGGGCAAACTTGGAAGAAGACATCCAGATTCTATTTCATACACACAAACAACAACAAATCAGATCAAAAATTTTACCTATTCCAACATTCTACTTTGATGAATAACACAAAAAAAAAAAAAAAAATACCATTGTTTTAGCTTGAAAAGATGATAATGGGCAAAAGGGTAACTTTATCTTTAAGATTACATAAGAAAAAAAATCCAAGAAATAGCAACATACTTTTATTTATTTGTGTATTAAAGCATTGTAATTTCGTTTTTTTATTAAGGTGTTATTATACATTGCTATTTCTTGCATTGAATTCTATAACATAGAAATTGTTAATAAGAGGGATTCTTAGATATACCTTGCATTCCATTTGCTGAAATCGATTTGTAGAGTTCATCATAACAAGAAAAGACATATAAAAACCATTAGATTTTGATTCTTATTACCAAAAAGATTCATGTCAAATAGGAAATAAATTAAATAAATTAACAACACGAACCTTGGAGGGAGAAATCTTGGAGGCTTATATGACAAAGATTATAAACATTATTTGTTACATTTTCTTTTTGTAACTTCTTTCCAAGTGAAGATGCACAATTTAAAGCTTGCAAATTTGTTAAAAAGCTTTGCTTTTGTAAGTGAGATACATAACTTTCCATAGCACTGCAACATGATGTTTGGTTGCTAAGCTCGTTGTGACACCCGTGTGCAACCGGTCGGACATTTGGTAAAACCAACGGGCAAACTGCAACCAAGGGCAAAATGGGAAATCTTGAAAAATATACATTGTTTTCATATATGGTGTATCTTTGGACTTTTGCTAGAATAATTGTTGTTATGAATAATTCACTCATACGTTATTATGACTGTGTTTGTTAAAAGGGACATGACTACACAAGGTTTCTACAAATATTTTCGATGAGGGCATTTTTGTCTTTTGCACATATGAGAGTTAGAGAGCAAATCCATGTCCCACACCTTGACAAAACAATTCCAAAATCTTGTCACATTGATATCAATCTCAGTCTTAGTCTAGCCTCGTGGATGCCAAACAAAGTTCAAGGGTTACGGAAAATAAAAGCAAGGGCAAAATGGGAAATCTTGAAAATTATAGAAAAAGAATGTTCGTTGTTATCAAATACGGTGTATCTTCGGACTTTTACAAGAGTAATTGTTGTTATGAATCAATCACTTATACTTTATTATGGATGCATTAGTTAAAAGGGACATGACTACACAAGTTTTCTACAAATATTTTCTATGAGGGCATTTTCGTCTTTTGCACATACGAGTATTAGAGAGCAAGTCCATGTCCCACCTTGACAAAACAATTCCAAAATCTTGTCATATTGATATCAATCTTAGTCTCAGTCTAGTCTAGTCTAGTCTAGTCTAGTCTAGTCTAGTCTAGTCTAGTCTCAGTCTATTCTGGTGGATGCCAAACAAAGTTCAAGGGTAACGGAAAATAAAAGCAAGGGCAGAATGGGAAATCTTGAAAAATATAAGCAAATGAGTAATAGGTTAAAATGTTCATTGTTTTCAAATATAGTGTTTTTTGGACTTTTTGCAAGAGTAATTGTTATTCTAAATTCAATCACTCATGTTATTTAGGCAAGGCAATTTTTCTAGGGTTATTTTCTCGGAGGAGGGTATTCACGTCTTTTGCGCAGACAAGAAATCAAGAAATCAAGAACAAGTCCCTATCCCACTTTTTTAAATGGGACAAAAAGTTACACCAGTCCCAGTACAATGCATGTCAAACACAGTACAACCTAATCTGTCATGCATATCAAACACAGTACAACCTGATCTGTCATGGGCCCCACAAGAACAACAACTAACTAACCTTTATTAAGATTGCAATTAGCCAATCCTCTTAGCACTTCTTTAGCTCGTGTTGGTTCAAGTTTACTTGCTAACCATCTCAAAACAATATTTTTACAATCATTCACCACCCGATTTGATATATCTGAGGGCCTCTTAAGCCCCATTGCATCAAGTTCAAAAGACACAGAAGCAAGATCTTTAGCACCTTCCAATATAGCATTCTGACACACCTCTTGACAACATTCATTAACAAGATCAATCTTTCCACATTTAGAAAGAATCTTGGAAGTGTTGACCATTTTTTCAAATTGGTCAACATCTTTGACCGGGCAAGAACCTTCTGTTAAATTAGATGGACCAACCGAACATATCTTTTGTAAACTGTTGTTTGCCCCTTGACCCATGAGAATTTGGTCAAAATCGGAAAGGCAATGTTTTGATAGAGTTGAATTTAGGGAAAGAGTTTTTGTTTTTTTACTTGATTGACCAATGAGAATGACTAAAGTGGCTTTGAATTGAGGGCAACATACTACATTGGCTAAGTATGGGGCGAATACTGTGAAACAATCGATTGCAGTCATACTCATCATGGTGTTTATGGAGTCAAAATCTAGTGTACATAACCCTGAAAAAAAGAAAAAGGAAAAGAAAAAGAAATTAAAGGGTTGAATCAAGAAATAGGAACATAGGTTTGTCGATTTGTTCATTATGCTATAATTGGGTATGTATGATGTCTTATTAAGTAAAAATTTGAAAGTATGAAGGTATAATTCAGTTGATTTTGAAAGTAGAATGTTGTTTCTTGAATTTAGTGATAATTTAAGATAAGAAAGAAAACAAAATTCAATAAAGGGATATGGTCATATGTTACCAAAATAGCAAACAAGTTTCACTCAACTTTTAAATTGTTCCATTATTATTATTGTTATAAAAGTATGTGACAGTTTTATTGAAATAGATAGTAACCAAGTTTCAATCTTGTTCAAGTGTTAAAATAGACAATTTCACAACATTGGAACAAAAGTATAAAACAGAAAGTCAGAAACTTGATTTCTATTTAATGAAACTATTTCAATAAAACTTTCACATAATATGTCTGTATCTTAACTACATCAACAAAATATACAAAATTTCATAACAATAGAAGAAAATTTAATGCACCTGATAACTTTGGAGCAGTGTTATTTGTGATTGTGAAGGGTGATAATGGAGATGGAGCAAGAAGAGGATAAAGGGGTTCAGGATTTCCAGATGGAGAAATTTCAGGCAATAAATTATCCACTTTTTTAATAAATTGTAGAGATGTTTTCATATTATTCATCGAGTTGCAATGGGAGCTGTTGAAACCTGTTCATTGATGCAAAAAAGAAAAGGTTTTGTTATATTTGGAAGAGTTAAATGCAAGAAAATAGTACACTGATTTCATAGAAATAAATAAAAGTAAGATGCTACAAGAGTGGTAAATCTGTAAATGTAGTAAAAAGATCAAAAACATTACAAGAGACATTTAGTATATTAACTAGAAAACCAATCATAAATGCATTGATGACAAGTTGTTAGTTAAAAACATGATTACTTTTGGATCTCATCACTTCTTTTGACTAAGTCAATAAAAGGGTTGTTTTTGTTGTCTTTTGTTGTTTAATAAATTGAGTTACTTCAATATTTATAGTTCATACACAAATGTGTATACTTTATAACATAAATCCCAATAAGTGTTGGCTTACACTTAACTCAACCATGTGAAGAGTAGGTGGCAACTCAAGAAAATGAAAAAAAGATTTAATGAATGATAATAATTGCAAGTGGTTGAAAGTTTCAAAAATTGCAGTGTGGGAGTTTCGGTTCCAATGTGGATAGACAGTGTGACATGACAACTGAGTACCTGATTTACATCTCACATCATGTTGTGGAAAAGTTTGAAAGATATTATTCTTTGGATTAGTTAATGATCTAATGAGAGTCTAATATGTGGAGAAATTTCTTGATTTAAATGTTTGTGCTTTTAATTGATATATACAAATGGAATTTCTATAGGATTTAAGTTTGTTGTATTTGCAATAAATTTCATTATTAAATCTTGTAGTTTAATACTAGGTTTGACTATATAATGTCTAAATGCTACTCGAAAATCTTCAATTACTCAGAAAATTCAAAACCCTAGAATGGCTTACCATACCTCTATGAAAGTGACATGTTCTCTAGACTTTAAAATTTATCAATTAAACAAAACCTCAACATGCAAGAAGAAAGAAAAACCCTTAAATCTTGAAGCAACGAATTAAAAGGAAAAAATTAACAAAAATGGTCAAACGAATTATTGTACTATAAACAAGATAAACAGCAAAATGCAGACAACCCATCAAAATCGAAACAATAATTAGAGAAGAACCGATTTAACATTCTTAAATTTTCAAAAAAGAAACCCAATTTTGAAAAACCCTTGAATACCAAACATGATCAAGGGAACTGCAAACCCCCGAAGCTAAATCTTGAAAATAATCAAGACTTTTTAAGATTCTTGAGCACCGATAGAAGACAAATCATCAAATCGAAGAAGAACAAGCAAATAAAGTAAGTAATTAAGATGCGTATACATGAAAACTTACAGAAAAGCAGCAGAAATAAGAAAATGAGCTTGAGATTGAGCTTCTGAGGTATCGTTTCTCTCATGCTTGATGGGGTTTTCTCGCACTTGATTCTATACGAAGTTTTAGAACGAAAAGGGATATTAAAAGAGAGATGATACTAGAATTTATGCAAAGCTTTTAGATTTTCAATTGAGAAAAGATGGTGAGAACTGGAGAATATAGAACAGGGGAGGTGTAAAGAGTGAAGAGGGAGAGAGAAAGGGGGAGCCATAAATGAGAGTGCAAGTGTGTGGGGACAATGGCAGTAATTTCGTAGTAGCTGTCCATTTATATGCGAAGACCCCACAAAAGAAACAATAAATTAAATCATTTTTATTCGATTAAATTATTTAAATTATCCTCAAACTATTGGTAAACTTCCAAATTTAGACGCAAAAAACTTAGGTTGCGTTTAGTTACGGAAAAACAATTTTCATTTTCCGTTTTTTGTTTTCCTTTTTCGATTTTCGTTTTTCGTTTTTATTTTTCATTGAAAAATTTAGAAAACGCGGTTAGTTAAACTTATTCATTTTTTATTTCAGTTTTAGAAAATTAGAAAAAGTGTTTAGATGTGTATTTTTCTATCGGTTTTCATTTTTAGAAAACGGTAGCGGTGGTAGGGTGTGGGTGGGGGCGGTGACGATAGCGGGTCGGCGACGGTGGTGGTGATGACAGGCGATGGTGGTGGCGGCGGCAATTGTGTCAGTAGTGGTGATGGCGGCGGCGGTGGTGGTGGTGCTAGTGACGGGTTAGTGGTGGTGGTGGTGGTGATGGTAGATCGGTGATTGTGGTGGTGGTGTTGGGTGGGTGGGGGTACGATTGTGTGTTTGTGTGTGTGTATGTGTGTGTTTGTGGGGGTAGGTGTGGGTTTGTGTGTGTGTGGGTGTGTGTGTCTGTGAGGGTGGGGGTAGGTGTGGGTTTGTGTGTGTGGGTGTGTGTTTGTGGGGGTGTGGGTGGGTATGTGTGTTAGTGTGTTTGTGTGAGTGGGTGCGTTGGTGGGTATGTATGTGTGTGTGTGTGTTTGTGGGTGGGTGTGTGGGTGGGTATGTATGTATGTGTGTGTTTGTGGGTGGGTGTGTGTGTGTGGGTATGTATGTGTGTATGTGTGCCGGTGGGGGTGTGTGTGTGTGGGTGGGTGGGTATGTATGTGTGTGTGTGCGGGTGGGTGGGTGTGAGTGTGTGGGTGGGTATGTATGTGTGTGTGTGTTTGTGGGTTGGTGTGTGTGTGTGTGTGTGTGCGGTGGGTGTTGTGGGGGGTGGGTATGTCTGTGTGTGTGTGGGGGGGGGGGTGTGTTAAGGTGGGGGGGTAGGTCGCGGTGGATGGGGGGGAGTGGGTGTGTTTTTATATTTTAGAAAAATTTTTGGAATTAGAAAAATGTGGAAAACAATGCTTATCAGTTTTCCAAAACCTTTCCCCCTTCTTTGTCCTTTTCGAAAATGGAAAAATTCTCATTTTCCGTGAAAAATTTAGAAAAATAGAGAACTAAACGCGTTTTCAAATTCTCATTTTTCTTGGAAAATTTTTCCGGAAAACGGTCCATTTTTCCGCAACTAAACGCACCCTTAGTTTTCATTTTGATCTAATGAAATTTATTGGTTGTCGATTTCCATTTTCCAGATTTTTTTTTCTTAGTTTTAAAGGTATCTCAAACCCTACCAAATATTTTAAAAAACATTCTTAATATTTTAATAATTAAATAATATTTTTTTTCATTATATCATTTTACTAAATATGAATATCGTTATATATAATTAACTACTATTACTTAGTTTTCATTTATATTATTAAAACTTGTTAAGATAAAATTGGTAACTTCAAAAGTACATTGGATTTTAAAATATCATATACAACTAGGTGTGAGACTATAATTAGGTGTGAGACCCGTATGATAATATCATTATATAAACATTAAACATTTTATAAAGTAATTGGAAAAAGAAAGAAAATCAATACGTTTTGTAACATTTATGTGAATTTATTTTCAAATTAATATAATGATAACTTTACATGAATAACATAAGAACATTCCATATATAATTGTAAATTCGGGGAATTTAATGTAAGAAAAGAAAAAAACATCATAAATGGTCCCTGTGGTTTTCTAAAATCTGAAGTTTAGTCCCCGTGGTTTAAAAACGTCATAGATGGTCCCTGTGCTTTCAAAACTTTTGACGATTGGTCCTTATTACTAACTCCGTTAAGTTTGTCCGTTAACTAAAGGGCATTTTCGTCTTTTCACGATCACAGGGACCATTTATGAGGTTTTCACTTATTTTAAAAAAAATGAAATAAGATGCAAAGGGGGTCCCACCCTCTCTCTCTCTCTCTCACTCTCTCTCTCTCAACCCCTCTCTTCCTCTCGTTTTTATATCACCAGCCACCACCACCATGTTTCTTACTCTTTGTTGTTGATCGGAGCTAGCCAAGCACTTTCACATAATAACAAAAAAGGGTTTAAGGCAAATATGGATCGTAACAACTAAAAACTCTCCTTGGCATTTTAACAAACACTTTGTGTGCATATTTCAGTGAACTAAAAATTGATAAATATAATAACTTTTGCAGTATATGAAGAACAAGAGAGAAAGAGAGATGCCTCTGTCATTTTTAAACTCGTGTGAATCGAGCACCAAGTACACCTCAAGAAAACTAGACCCACCCTTAACCTTCGAAGATCAAGACTGAGATGCCCTTTTCTCCTGTGCGCCTTTCTTCTCATCTGTACAGATTCAAATCACAGCCCCTTCTTCCTTATGTTCTCCAATTGCATATTGAAAAGGATTATGGTGGAGTTCTGATGATGGACAATGAAACGGTATAGGAGAAGAGAGAATGATTTCAATAGAGATGATGGTCTTAATTCTTCACAGAGAAAAGATGTATGCCCTGGTTCTTGATTTAAAAACTTTGGTGAGATAGATATAACCATACAGGCGGTGGTCAAATTAGGAGGTGGAGGAGAAGATAGATTGTTGGGTCTATTAGTTTTGGTGAATCGGAGTCCTCACTGTGGCAGTGGGTGGTGGCGGCGTGCAATTGTAGTTCCACTGCCTTGCTCATTTGTTTTATGCCAACGTGAACTCAAAGGGAGTGGCAGTGAACGGTGACAGGTGGTCGGAGGGAGCTGGTCAGATGGAGCCACACAAGCAGTAACAGCAGCACACAGTGTTTGGCTAGCTCCGATCAACAACAAATAGTGAGAAACACAATGATGGTGGCTGGTGATATAAGAACGAGAGGAAGAGAGGGTTGAGAGAGAGAGAGAGAGAGGGTGGGACCCCCTTTGCATCTTATTTCATTTTTTCATTTTTTTTTTAAATAAGTGAAAACATCATAAATGGTCCCTGTGATCGTGAAAAGACGAAAATGTCCTTTAGTTAACGAACAAACTTAACGGAGTTAGCAATAAGGACCAATCGTCAAAAGTTTTGAAAGCACAGGGACCATCTATGACGTTTTTAAACCACGGGGACTAAACTTCAGATTTTGGGAAACCACAGGGACCATTTATGATGTTTTTTCATAAGAAAATCAGAAATTCCAAAAAATAACAAGTTTAAAAAAAAAACAGAAATAGCCATGTGGCAAAATGAAGGAGAATAAGAAATGTGACAAAATGATTTTCATTATTAGATTAGATTTTATACTTTAAAGCTCTTTGGTATGATTTATATATACAACTAATTTTTACACTAAGTTTGTGGCAAATTATATTAAAACCAAAACGTTGATTTTGATCTAATTTAAATAATGTAACACCAAACATGACGAATTTTGAGATTAATTTTGTGCATTAATAAAAGGCAAAAAAAAAAATACAAATAACAATCTAACAATACATTCGTTTCTAGGTAATCACAACAATAAAATCAATATAACATCGGTCTCACACAAATGGAATGAAGGAAATGTAGGGTGGCCAGCAAACCTGATTGTAAGATTAGGGATTGCTTCAGTAGAAGACATTCAACAAAAGAAAATACAAATACAAAAAAATGTATATTAAATAAAATTTTATAAATGCGCCTACACTGAAAAATCCCTACATAAAGGTCATATATACAAAACTTCAACTCGCGATGAATAATAAAGATGTGTGTGTTTGAAAAATAAAATGGTGTGTGTGAATAAAGACTGGTAAACAAAATAAATATGTACATGGCTAGAGCAAGGGTTAACCAGTAAAACAAAAACATCCAATAAAAGCACACGTAGTGAAAGCATATACAAATAGTAAGTTGAAAGATACTACTAGTTAAACATCATGTACGTGAATAGGAAAATAATTACTAGGCACATCAATACTACTCCATTACTCTGATTCTAAGTCTCCACAATTCCCTATCTGAGGTCATGTAATATCGTCGATGACATGACCTTATATAAGAGATTACGAAGGCTTAGAATCAGAGTAGTGAAGTAGTATTGACGTGCCTAGTAACTGTTTTCCTATTCACTTTCATCAAGTTAGCAAAGTAGCATGATGTTAGACATGAAGGCGTCAGCCCTTATCAATGACTCATCGGCAAGGGCTAACTCATTCAAGTCTAACGTCATGTTATCTTCCCGTTTTCTTATCGGTTGACCTCTTATCAATTCGGCGTCAATTTTGCCCCACGACTCCCCTTACGAAAAACACAAGGACTATCTAGATAATGAAGTTTATCCCTAAAGCTTTAACTTCTCAGCTTCCATTTAGATACTAAGGGAGGAGGGAGTCGTTCCCTCCCAACCCACCGAACCCACTGTCACATCAATTTTTCTCTTTTATTTTTCTTCATCTTTCCGAACCCACAACACACAGAAATCTTATCTTTTTGAACCCACTCAACCCACTCAATTAAAAAAAAATACAAAACAAATAAGGTACAAGTTTTAAAACACATGGTACAAGAGAAAATAAGAAAGAGAAAGTAGAGAGATGATGAAGTGCGTTAGTGAAACCAATCAACCCACTCGTTGAAGCGGGAGTGGTACCGCCGATAACTCTATTGCTAATTAAAATTTTACATTTGATTGTTTTGTATTTTTTTTAATTGAGTGGGTTGAGTAAGTTCAAAAAGATATGATTTCCGTGTGTTGTGGGTTCGGAAAGATGAAGAAAAACAAAAGAGAAAAAGTGATGTGGCAGTGGGTTCAGTGGGTTGGGAGGGAATGACTCCCTCCTCCCTAATAGTGCAAAATAAAGTTAAAGGGTCGGTAGTGAAGACATTGCAGAATCAAAATAGATGATA